CTTGGATGAATATTAAAATTGTAGAAATTGACTATAATCAAGACTAGTTTCTAAAATGTTAGTCACCATCTCCATACCTTAATGTATTCTATTTCTTGACAACGAGAATTGATTTTTGAACGAATCAAATGGTGAGTGGATAGCATAATGTTCAACATCACGAGAAATTATTTGATTTTCAGTCATGATTGATGCTCATACGATTGGTAATAATTTTGTGTTTAGGGTCTCAAAATTTTTTGGGCCGACCTTGCATAAATATGTGAATAAAATTAATTCTAAATTCTAAATTATACCAAATAGGAACTTAGTTATATACTATGAGATTGTATTACGTTGCACAAATGATTAATCACGATCTTCAAAATTCTACATCTAAAATAAAAATTCTTGAAAAGAATCTAATAATATTCGGGACCAGGTTCCAAAATCATCATCCTTGCACTTAAATAAAACTATTTTATTAGCAAGACAAGTGTACCTTTTCGAAGCCATGTAACAACCACTTATACTTGCAAGTAACTAAAAAATACTTAATTATCTTGATCTAATCATCATTTAGTTAAATAATTATTATAGAAAACATTATAGTTTGTGATTACGCATTATCAGGCCAATATGTTGGGAACTTTTATTAAGAAGATTAAGCTTTTTTCCACTTTGTGATACAATGACATGCTGGTGACTCTGCATGCATCTATTGGTTCGGACCTAACCAAAGGGAATCAAAAAATACAGAACGTCAAAATCAATACAACTTTCTGTGAGAATTATTTTTGTGTATTTTCCAGTCAGATCAATAAAACTTTTACAGATTAGACTCTCCATCACGATACCTAATCCATTGTCTTTTCTAAAAAATGGGTTTCATTTATACCAGTGACTACAGTTAGATCATTTGACAAATGGCATTCCATCTTTGTAAAGAAAAAGTTACCTCGTTACGTGTTGAAAAATAGAGAGTTTGTTAGGCAAGTTGTCTTGTCCTCCTACAAGAAACTGACAAAGAAGTAATGCTATTGGCTTATTGGGTGTATTATTTGATACTTTAATGTAGTACAATAGTTGCAAAATTGATTGAGCATTTTGTTTACTTTGTGATAGGATACTCATTATGCTTATTTCTTTTTCCACTTGTTGATGTCGAAAATTTAGAATTATATCCTAGATTCAATTGTTAGGTGAACATTATTATTGTTGTTGGACTTATTACAATGGATTGGTTTGGAATTAATTCAAAAGACTAATTATGTCTTGAGCTCATCTGACTTGGGATTTTAGTAAATGTAATGGGCTTAGGATTTCTGAAATCTTAGACATACAAAGTCTTTGTTTAGGGTTTGAAAGAATTCTAAATATTCTTTCTGACACACAAAAATAGGTGAAAATCTTAAAACTAATTCTCTCAAAATTCAACTAGCGATTGTGAATTGTTTATGGTATTGGAGTTTCAAGTTTGTTCTCTTCGTGTGGTTTTTTGTTAGATTGTTTGACAATGAGACAGTTTTATATATACTGGAATTTGGTAGTTCAGATACAAAATCATCCCAACTTATTAAAATCGTCAAAAGTATACCTTCTATCACACATTCTTTCTAAACACAAGGTTATCTGACATTTTGGGTGTTGAAAACTGTTTATATTCCGTTATGCATGCTTAAGTAAGATTTAGATTTACACACACAAGTTGGATATAAAATAATATTTAATTTATAACGGACTGAATGAATCTATGTACGAGAAAATTTATAGGTTAAACTTTTTAGATGAAACCACAAGTTTCTATAACTGGTCACGTGAATGTGTGAAATGCACGGAAAAACTGTGAGCTTCAATTAATATTGTCACGGTAGATGTTTTAGGATTGTGAATTCATGAGTAGGTGGACCATAAGGGGTCATGCGGGTTTGACACGGTGGAGTTATTATGAAGAAGGAGGTTAAAAGCATTGAAATCAAAGATTTTTAGAATTCATAAAAGGTGGTTTGAGTTCTTCAAGAAGTAAGAGCAAAAACCAGGGCCCTCGATGAAGTACAGTTGAATGGAGACATATATACGAATGTATCATCACTTGATGGATAGCTGTATGATCATGTGTGGGTCATGATGATTTGTATTTAGTTCAAATGGGAAATTAAAAAGATATGCTCTTCAGATAAATCCCACAAGTGTACGAGATCGTTGACAAGTAATATGTGATAAGTTTTTGTATCGTCAAAGGTGGAATAAATAATAATCATTATGTACTAGTTGTTTATCAAATTCAACGTGGTAAAACAAAAGAGATGTTGATTATCGTAATTATCCTAACTTAAGCTATGAATTTTGTAAATGCATGATTTTTATCAAGTTATGAGATGAATGTATCGGATTTCAGAATTTACCTACTGGCATCTATTTCTAATTCTCGAACTGCATAGTTTAGTGTGTTCAAGTGCTTGTGATAATCCTATATTGTTTATCTTCTTTTTCAAAATAAATCAAACTTATTCTAGGCATGTTCTAATCTTAGTCCTAATTCAAATTCATATGCAAAGAAATGCATCGAACTATACGAATATCAAATGAGATTTCCCACGCCAAAAACGTTATTCATAATATTTATTACCCGTGTATCTATTCTGCAATATTTTAAACATACTGTGAGTCTTCTAACACAGCGATAAAATAATTGATTATCTAAATGATGTGTACAAGCATTCAAATAATGAATTAATCATATATAATTAATCAAGAACACAAGAACTAAACTACTTATTCTTTAAATTAGAAATAGATATATCCAATGATCTCATCATCATCCAATACGCTTTGAAGTTTAGCCAATAGCGTGTATAAATATAAATTCTACAATATGTATTGAACAGACATCACTCGAAATAAAGAAGAACTAGAAACTTCAATTTCTTGTCATTCTAACTCGAATCCGAGCTTTACAACTTCGAAATATTGTGTTAATTAACTTCTTACCTCTTGCTAGACATTTTCTATGCGATATAATGATTACTCAATTGTTGTTGACGGCCTCCCTTAGGTTAAAACAAGGCTAGGAAGTCATTCCACACAAGGTTGGACTTAAAAAGAAACTTGAATCCTCCTCTGGAGGAAGTCATGCGTACGCATGTGGTCAGCTACAATTTGCTCCCTAAACTTTCTCAAATGCGTAATTTGGTCCTTTATCAACCCTTTTTAGTCTTTTGTCTTCTTTGCTAGTACAACCTCTAGCACTCTCAATCTTCGTCATAAGATTCGACACAACTTTTGAGTTGGATTTCTAGAAATTTTGCCCTTTCCCTCATTTTTCTCCAATTCCGTCATGTTCATTGATCTTTGCCTAACTAAAATAATATACATAGAATTAAGCTATAATTCATTAAAATCTCCAACAAATACTCTAGTTTAACGGTCTAAATAAATGTACAAAACATACTTATCATATGTGATAAAAAAAATCCCATATTAAATAGTAAGATGCTTAAGGTTAACTTTTGTCTCGAATGAATAATTTTACAGTGTTTTCTAATTCTAAAAGAATGCGTGGACCATTTTATTAAAGAGGTTCATCAATTTTATTTATAGGTTGAGAATTCATTTATGAATATAGTTATATTGGTGGGTGGTCATTTGTTCCAATAAATGCATTGATTGGTATGTCTTCCTAATTGTGCGTGACAAAAACACTACCTCACAAGAACTCTTGTATGTGTTTTGCATCTTGTCCTTAATAGGTTTTGATCACGTGCCGTGCTTGATTCTTGCATATTTCTGTATAAATTTCGACCTCTTAATAACTTCGATTTGTAATACTTTTTTTTTTTTTGGGGGGGTCATATAAGCTTGATAGTATTTGGCCTTGACCCTAGCAAGGGTAAGGGCTCAACAACTTTAACTTGGTCAAACTTTGGCCCTTGCTAACAATACCAAGCTCATGTTCTTTCTATAGATATGGACATAGTATCAAGATTTCCAATAAAGTAGGAAAATATTTTCATGTCATACCATATATATTTAGATTGTGTGTATCACATAGAGTTATCTTATACATGATATGTCTATTTTATCCATTGCTAACTTGATTTGCTCCAATTATACGTCCTCTAGCTTCTCCATGCTGAGCTCCATTTTAAATTCTTCACAGTTTAAATGGTTTTCTTCTTCAAATCATTGATCAAAATTTACAATGGCTAAAGTTTTCTTTGGGACCTATATCTCTTTACCTCTACCATCTAATATTGGGTGTAAGGTTTTTACGTATCCCTCTCGTATATGCCATTGTTTTAATGAATAGATAAGATTGTGATCAACATCAAACTCCACATCTACATTTAGGTTGAGACCTACAAATCTCACTCGTTCATGAATGGATTGAATTAAGAATAAAAAAGTTGCACGGCTCAATTATTATATTGGTGTTCACTAATTTATGAAAATTGTATATACATGATGAGTCCTTCGACGAGAAACGACTTTATCTTGTATGCGAAAAGACATATTATAGAAACAATTTAAATAAACAAATTTGTCTTATATCTAACAAGTTAGACTTCTAAACGAGTTGCTCAACGCATAATATACAAAACTCAATGAAACGATTTGATAAAATAGAGATAATACCACACAATTCCATAGCAAGACAAGAATGAAATTATCATTTCTATTTTTAGTATATTGTCTATACATAACAATAAATCGAGTGAGCAAACCACTTTATAATTGTCTTCTTATATATTCTCTCTGTATTTATCTTTTATATTAAATTTCATCGTGTGTGTATGTGTGTGAGAGAGAAAATTGAGGTTTCTTCCAAAGTCGCATTAGCTTTGTCCGCATGGTGGAGGCGTCGGCGTGATATTATTCAACTTGTCTCACTATGGACCACTCTTCTACTTATAAATTATAATATAATTAATATTATTGCTTATAAATTATAATTATATTCTTAACTTTTCAGTCTATATGAAACAAGATTAAAACTAACATAGATGCATCAGAGAAAATTGGATTTTTTGGCCGTCTATAAATAACCATCCATCTTGTTTCAAGTTTTCAAAGTCTTTCCTTCAACCCTTATCTCTCTGTCTCTCCTCCACCATCACCGCCACCGTGACTCCACCACCGCCACCGCCATGCATATGTATATCGTGCACCACTAGCAGATGAAGCTGCCAGCATGATCTTAACTCGCCTTTGATCAACATCGACTCGGGGAGAGATCAGATCATGCGGCAGCTTCACCTGTTATCGGATCACGAAAATCTTTATCTGTATACAGTAAGCAACCCTAAATTCTTTTGGTCCGTAATTCCTTCGTTCTGAATATTAGTACAAATTAATGAATTATTAGTTTTTAGATTTTGGCTTACTTTACTTTAGGTATCAACTGCAAGTGATGGCACTGGCTTATTTTAAATTCATCATTTTTCTGTATTTATTAGATAACTAAAGATGAAGGGTTGATAAACGGCAGTGACAATTCTACTTTCCAAGGGCCACTTATTTCTTCATTTTTCATTCTTCATTACCATTAATTATTCTTTTCCAAGAACCAAACCAATCTTCCTCTTTTTTCCCCCCTCTTTTTTTTAATCATTATAGGGAGTCATCTATGAACAATAATATGGTAATGTCCAAGACCAAGAAATTTAAGAAATAAATAATTGCGAATTCTTTTTTTCACAGACAAAAATAAAAAATTCTTGATTAAATATTGATATTAGAGTGTTGCGAGAGTAGAGGATGGGAATCTTGGAGTCGGGAAGAGGTTTATGTTAGAATTGCTGGTGAATAAATTTGGTCTGTTTGGATCTTTTGAGATCCCTCCTTTTTCTGGCAATTTTGTATTATTTACATCCCGTTTTGTATAGCCTTTTTTAGAAGTTCCTATTGGTTGCATGATTTAATTATATTATCTCTTGCTCTTTACCATATAAAGCCAACTCAAAAGGTATAAAGCCAATTCTTCATTTAATTTTTTTTTTTTTTTAGTTCTTTGATCTTTGATAATATTTTGTGTATAAAAGCTGTATGAAATGTTAATCGAGTCTTTTTTTTATTTTTATTTTTATTTTTTATGATAGGAAAACCCGCAGTCGTTACCTTTCGGATGCATACTGGGTAAATTCTCGGACTGACATAATAGCCTGCAAATCACGCTAATCAGGTAAATTACACCAGGCAAACCCGGTGTGACAGACTCGATCGAGAAGGTGTTGGTAAGAAGAATCGAACTCGTGATCAAAAGCCTCTGCACTTACCTGCTCCACCACCCCCATGAGAGGCGAGCGCACGTCAAATATTTTAAGTAAAACAGACTTGTCTATATACAATTAGCAAATAAATAATCTACATGATTGATCTAGACATTTGATACAATTTATATCATTTATAAATTCAATCAAAGTTAAACGTTAATTTTAACCACACATTTATGATTAGTATTCATTTTATTCACACATTTTATAAGACTCACTACCATTCCTCACATTATTACAATTTATAGTTTGCTAAGGGAGGTAAATTCCAATTCATAATTGTGTATTTATGCATTTAACATGAATGTTTTACAAATCAGATAAATTCAACAAAATCTCGACTCACTAAACTTTGATTTGTCAGTTATTTGAACTACAATTTTATTTCAAATGAATCACTAAACTTAATTTTAATTTTCAAATTTCATCTTAATCACTAAAATATATCACATGATATCTCTCAAACTTTCAAGTTCCTACTGGTTGCGTGATTGAATTATACAGGTCTTCCACATAACTGATATATGACATGCCAACTTACTATTACACTACATAAAATTGTTAAATTAAAATTAAAATAAATAAATAAATAAATAAAAATATATACACACACACACATTTTTAATCTTTTAATCTAAAGACATGACACCTTTGTTTTACCATTTTCTTTTCTAGAGTGCCACGTACTTGTCAGTTGTGGTAGATTACGAAACTTGACAAAGTGGTGATATTTGAAACAAAATCAAATTTAGTGACTAATAAAAAATAATAGTAAACTTTAGTCTCAACTGAGATTTTGCTGAAATTTCAATGACTGCAAATGAAACGGTTTCTCAAATGTTTTTTCATTTATCACTAAATTTTAAAGTTTTCCGAGTTACCTCGGAATCTTCCCAAACTTTTCTTAACTATATCGAATTTTAGGAGTTTTTGTACTTATCACAAAACTTATCAAAATGTTATTTCATTCATCAATAGTCATTTTGAAAATGCACAACATCACATGCAATTTTGGTGATGTGGCATACACAACGTCGAAAGCATGCCAAGTTTAAGAAGTTCGACTATCATGTCATCATGTTCAATAACTTTTGAAATGGCCTAGTTTGAATGACAAACGCAATTATATTTTGGTAAGTTCATTGAAAACTTAAAACACTTCTAAAGTTTAATGACAATTAAGTAATGTTTTGAAAATGTTCGATGACAACTTGAAAAACTTTTAAAATTTAATGACAACATATAAGCACATATATAAAAATTTAAGTAAAATTGAAATATTTAAGACCCTTAATGCCATCATCAAACTTTTTTCTGTGAACATATTTGTTTGAATGTAAGAACTTGTCAAGACGTGTGGTTCCTCTGAGGCTCGAAATGCCAAAAACAAATGTAAGCAGTTAGCACTCTTATCTCCAGTTTTTGAAAGCATCTCCAGTGGTGCTATAAATTAAATCTAAATTATGATTTAAATTTTCAAAGTGGTTGAAAATCTTTTCAATGGAGAGATGCAAAGGAAATGTAATTTTATTTTTTCGGCGAAAAATATGACAAAATTATGTAAATTTGTATCTTTTTTTAGATCCACAAGAAACAAAAAGCTATCAACTCACTTGCACCCAAATTTTTAAATTTTTTATTAGAGTAAAATTTGAATTTAGATCTATGAAGATATAAATGGGGATACAAAAATGATTTTGAAGATGTCATTTTACACCCAATTTTACACTATCATTGAAGATGCTCTTATGAGTCAAATTAAACTTTTTGAGAGCATGTACCAATCTCATCATGGATCAATTCGCTTTAATTCTATATTTCTCTATCCACAAGTTGAATAAAATGAAATAAAGTTGGACATATTCTCAATTTAAAAAGTTCAATTCAAGTAGTATTGAGCCATGTGTATTTTAGAGTGTGGATAGTCTAGATAAGAGAGAAAAATCGGTAACAACTAGCATAAGGATAAGGGGGAACGAAAAATAAACAGTTTAGTAGAAAATATGGGTTGTGGGTGTACATGTAGGGTGACCCAAACTATAAGACATTAAAAGGGTTGGAGGGAGTGGTATGAACTTGAAATTCAAACTTACAACTCCCTATAATCACCCAAAACTCCCATACAATCTCCAATAGTTATTGCTTAAAAAAGAGAGAGAAAAGATGGCAATAAAATGTGTTAAATTCGTATAAAAAAATACACATAAATTGAAAAGTGCCTAGAACCATATATATGGCATTAGAACTTACAAAAATTGGCACTCAAATTATGGATGATAATCTCATTCCGTTGTGATTGGAATTGAGACAATTGGAGTGCTAAAAAATGAAAATTTTGATACTTGAAAAGCAAGGTAATTCAACCACACAAGGATCTTGGAATTCATGAATTCAAGTAAGAATTTTTTACCCGAAATTTATGTTAAAGAATGCTGCGAATTATTACATTGGTATCAGAACCTTAATGTTGAATTTTTGTAATATTTCATGCTTATATATACTATTATGTGATTCGATTGATTTATTAATTTGTATGTAAAATTTTCAAACCTTGTGATTTTTATAGTTTCTTTTGATAATTTACTGCTTTTGTACATTAATAATTATACAATAAGATGAGTATGGTCAGAATTATATTTCAATAAGCTTCCCAACTATATAAAAACTTAAATTTTGAACTTAAAATGAAGTTATGAGCTATTGATGTTTAAATAAAAATCTAAATTTTTGCATGAAATTATAAGATCTGAAATTTCATCACATGATAACATCTTCTACACTTCATTTCATGCTTCTCATTTGGTATGGTTGGATAGATCTTCTCAAAACTTTTCTAGTGATATAAATATTATTAATTTTGACTTTGAAATATAGAAGTTAAGACCTCTCAAAATTTGGTCAAAATTTTGAAAAATTGCATATCTTTTGCCATTTTCACTCATGGACAAATCTGTTGATATCCCAAACATGACCCCTTAAAAAATGATTTTAAATCTTACCATACAAATAAAATCAGAACGTTGAAATTTTTTAGGATGACCAATCGAAAAAAAATTTGAGGACGACGTGGCAGCACTGACCCATCCCCATTTTTTTATTAGTTTTTTTAAAAAATAATTACAAATTGGTCTCACATGTGAAGGAGCACAGAATTCAATCTCAATTCTGAAAATTGCAGATTGATCCGTGAATTATTTTCGATTTTTCAATATAATTAAATTAGTTTTTGGATAGTTAAAAATATTTTATAGTATTTAATACTTAAAATAAATTTTAAAAAGTATTAAAAATAATTTTTTAACTTGATTAAGTCCTAAATTGTTTTTATAAAATCAAGAATATTTATTAAGTGGTATTTGGCTAGTGGATTGAAAATGAAAAAATAATTTGAAAGTATTTAAAATACCACATTTTATATACGTTTATAAGTTATGTGGGTCTTTGATTAGACTGTGTGATCCATTATAACGTGTTACCAATTTTTGTGCCAAATCAAATATTATTGGATCTATGCATACGTATAACATCCTTGTTATATATTTATGGTATAAATATAAAATGTGAAAGAAATAATCAAATTAGATAAAGTGTCAAAGTGGTAGGAAATATGACATTTGTGTGGGACGTCAGGGTTCGAATCATTCCCCACGCAAATATTAAAATGTCTTGATTGGGGCCTTGGACTTCCTTGACTAAAATAAATATTTTTTTCTTTATTATTTAATGGGTAAAATTAGCCAGTATTTTATGACTGTTTGTTTTTGTAACAACCCACTAACTGCCATTAAAACACCCACTACTCAGTCATTAAAATTTTGCATTAACATGGTGAAGACTGTTACTACCATCTTGCCTATATAAACCCATATCTTATTTTGGGAAAAGACACACACAAAACAAATAGAAAAATCATCTTGCATCAGTCACTCTTTTCATATTGTGAATTTCTTATATTCGGGTTTTTATATCTATTCTGGAATACAATTGAGAGTTCTAGAAAAATCATTCGTGATTGCTGCACAAGTGGTTTACGATCGTTGTATCCTGGGAGTGATTGTCCACGGAGGTCGCAGCAATTATTGACGGGCAATTTCACTTTAGGACATCTTGCTGTCATGAGACTCGATCGATAAGTTTTATATTTCTGCATTATATTGTTCTGATAACTGCTGCAACTAATTATTTTCCCAACACTTACAAGAAATATGAACCACGATTTCACATGTCCAATAAAACCAAAAAGTACATCAGCACTGAAGTCTAAAAGCAACGCGTCGTGACCGTGCTCTCTTCTATGATATTGTTGTTGACAAAGATTTGTGTCCTTATAAATAGCTACAAGCATGTCTGAAATCACACAACTAAGCGCGTATGATTATACAAATAACCCAGTTGAAATCGTCTGTCTAAAGTTTCAACAATTCAAGTGTGTTTCTCTTAGAAATTTCTAAAGTGTTGAAAAGAAATGTCCTTAGAGGATCTGATTATCAGGATTAGAATCGAGGAGGACAATAGAATGGCAGAACGTAAGGAAAGACCAGACTTTGATACCAAGGCTAATCTTATTGAAGGAAATTCTGGGACTAAGAAATCAATTGGAAATTTTACAAGGGGTCAGAATTTCAAAGGCAGAAATAAGGGAAAACAATTTGTAGGAAAGAACAATCGGTCTAAGCCCCAATTTAAAAATAAAATTGTTGGTGACTGTTTTGTTTGTGGTAAACCAGGTCACTTTGCAAAGGATTGCAGAAATAGGAAAAGAAAAGCTGTGAAGCATCAGGGACATGTGGTAGAGGATGGGAATTTCTCTGCTATGGTGATAGAAGTGAATCTAGTAAGCAACATGACAGACTGGTGGGTAGATTCTGGAGCTACCAAGCATATTTGCTGCACGAGAGGTGCATTTTCTTCATTCACTCCCGCTAGTGATGGAGAATGTCTGTGTCATGGGTAATGCTTTCTCCTCCAAAATAGAGGGGAAAGGAACTGTAACGCTTAGTAAAAAAGGGTTTTAAGATTGTATTTGAAAGTGGTCAAGTTGTACTGTCTAAGGGTGGTTCCTTTGTTGGGAAAGGGTATGCAGATGAGAGTCTGTTTAAACTCAATGTCTCTGTGATTAACAATAAAACATCCAGCTCTTCCGTTTACTTGTTGGATTCTTATGATTTGTG